GAGGGCGTGTCGCGTTCCGAATGTGGCTCTCACTCTCGAGCCGCGCACATTCGTTCTAACCAATTGCAAGGGCCCCACGGATTGAGGGCGGGTAGTGCTCAACATGTGGCTCTCTCCTTAGCGCCGCGCACATTCGTTTAAACATTTCCGACAACTTCACGGATTGAGGGCAGCTCCTGTTCAAAATGTGGCTCCTTCGTTACAACAATGTCAGGAGTCTCACAGATTCCCATGGTCAACGTAGCAGAGCTGGTTGTTCGAAAAGACTCAGGATCCTGAGGGCGCAACAGTTGCGTTGGTACGCGGGGTTGAAGTCCCAGGAAAGCCGTTCGGGCACGATTCGGGATCGTCAAGACGTAACAGTTGGAAGTGAACCCTTGTAGGAGCATCTCCCCTTAGCGCCGCGCACATTCGTTTAAACATTTGCAAGCACTTCACGGATTGAGGGCAGCTCATGTTCAAAACGTGGTTCTCGCCTGAGCGCCGCGCACACACTCGTTTCCGGAAAATTGCAAGAATATCACGGATTCCCATGGTCAACGCAGCAGAGCTGGTGTGTTGGAAAGACTCAGGATTATGAGGGCGCAACAATTACGTTGATTCGCTGTGCTGAAGTCCCAATACTGCCGTTATAACACGATTCAGGATCGTCAAGACGCAACAGTCAGGTTGATCCGTGGCGTTGGCATCCCGAGAACAATGTTTTGGCATGCCTCAGTTTCTTCGAACGGTTGTCTTCCAACGAGGCAGTTCCCTCAGTGGAAATGAACCGTTGTGAGGGCCTATGATGAGGGAGCTTGGATGGAGGGTATATTCCATTGTCGTTGATGACTCTTTGGTTTACACTGTCCTCCTCCTTCTCCTCCTCCTCCTCCTCTTCCTCCTCATCCTCCTCTTCCTCCTCCTCCTCCTCATCATCCTCATCCTCATCCAACTCCTCCTCCTCCTCCTCCTCCGCCTCCTCCTCCTCGTCCTCGTCGTCGTCCTCCTCATATTCCCCCGCGTCAGCTTTCTCCTCCCGCCTCCGATCCCTAACTCCTTATTACTATGCGCATAATTTGCCTTCGCCGTGCCCATGTGAAACTTTGCCGCTCCCGCCTCTGCGCGGCCCGCGTAGTTTTCCCTTCGCCAAATCGTCGGAATCGGGGGCGCGCGAAGCGCCTTCCGTTTGCTAGATGGGAGCGCGCTCCGATCCTAATATCGAACTGTGCCACACTTGACTCTTATGTTGTGGGGGGGAGGGTGGGAATAGGCGGGACCCTCTGACTCGTTCGACCCGGCATGAATGAGACGGCGGATGGGAATGGGCGGAGCCCTCTGACTCGCTCGACCTGGCTGATTACCTCAGTCCTACGCCCTCCTCCTCCTCCTCCTCCTCCTCCCCCTCCTCCTCCTCCTCCTCCTCCTCCTCCTCCTCCTCCTCCTCCTCATCCTCCTCCTCTGCAAGGGAGGCCTGGGCTGCGGCGGCGGCGGCGGCAAGAAGACGGAGCGCGGAGGACCGACACGGCCCAGATGGCCGAGTCCGAGGCAAAGTCAGCCTTCGAGAGGAAGCGGGGGCATGGCCGAGTCCGAGGCGGTGGCCGCGTTCGAGCAGAAGCGGGGGTCCACGCCTGCGAGGATCGCGGAGCTGAGTGCCCAAATTCGGTGGCGAGCGAGGGGGGGAAGAGAAAAGGAGAAGGCCTTCTCAGAAGGCGGCAGAACTTCTCAGAAGGCTTCCGGCCTCCTGAGAGGTTTCTGTAGTGTCTTCAGGGAAGGCTTCGAACACTTCTCAGAAGGCCGGGGGACGTCCGAGCCTTCTGAGAAGGCCCGCCCCTTCTCGCTTCCCCCCCAGGCTCGCCGCCGACAAATCGCCTGGTCCGCCCTGCCCACGTGGATTGGCACGCCCGAGGTGGGTACGGAAAAACTGCTGGAGGCTCAGAAGTGGGTACCAGCACCAACACCGAGGGTTGCCTCCACCAGGGGAAGGTGATCCTGGACTTTGGTGCCGATGGCAATCCTTCGGCCACCCTGGAAGCCCGAACATGACCACCAACACCGACATCGGGATCGTCTTCCCTCGGTGGAGGCGCATCGCCGACATTGGTGTTGGTGTCAGCCTCTCGGGAATGGACAGACCTCCCTTTAGTAAAACGTGGTTTAGTGCAAACGACCCGAGGCCCAAACCTGGCGGGCGCAAGCCTGGAAAACAACGGCCACGGCGCCTTCTCGAGGACCGAAAACGGACAATTCACCCATCAACGTGTCACTGTTAGGGGTTCTGTCCACCTCCGAGCCTCGAGGCCTGCGGAACTGGCGACGGTGCCCGGAGAGAAAAGGACCTTCCGAGGCCGACGGTGGCCGCTGCGGGCCAGGCGGCGCGCTGCAGCGGGCGGGCACTGGGCGCGGAGACGCCGACAGCGAGTCCTGCTGCTTTGAAGGGGTCCAGAGACACTCACAAAGAGGTACACACAGGTCCCAGGATGCCCCATATCTGTCCATAGTTCCTGGGCGTTCGTCTCCCCCCCCCCCCACATGTCCCATCTGTTCCCCCATTTTCCCGGGGATCGACGATGCATTGTGTCTGTGTGTGTGTGTGTTTTTTCCCATCCTGGTTTTTACCTGAACAGCCTCGCCGCCATCCTCGGAGGAGGGCCATCTCAGCGACGATCAACGACGGGCCTTGCGGGAGACGACAACGCGACCTTGCGCGTTGACATTTCCGCGAGCCGCCAGCGGGGCACGCCACACAATGGAGACGAGGGCGCTCGCGCGCAGCCGGTCACGGGCAGCCGACGCGACAGTGTCGGCGCAGACGACCCCGTTTCTGTTGCTGCGTCGCCCACACGAGACAGCGGCGGCTCTCCCGCCCGAATCCGCTCCGCGTTGGTCCCCAGTAAGACGAAGCCAGGACGAGGATTCAACTGGGGGACGAAATATCGAGAACCTCTGAAGTCCGGCGGCTCTGGGGGGTGCATCGGGCGCCGCGGCCGTCTCCGAGCGCTCCGCAACGCTCCGAGAGCGTTCCAGAACGCCCTGGAACGGAGTTGACCATCCTCGTCCTAGCCTTCGGTCGGGCATGTCCTCCTACAGGCGGGTTTGGAAGGAAACTGAAAAATAGTCGGAGAAAAAATGAAAAATGATCAGAAATGATCGACAAAATCGTCCCCAGACTATTTTTTGACGATTCTCGAATGGTCCTCCTGTGGAGGGCCATGCCCGACCAAGCCCCAGCCCCGTCCGAACGGCAGCTCTCCCGGGTTTTGGGGGGGTCAGGGGGTATTGGTGGGTTTTCCCCCCAGGACCCCCTCTCAAGGGTTTTCTTTGGAGGGGGTTAGGGGCGGTTGGTGGGCTTTCCCCCCAGGATCCCCCTCAAGGAGGGCATTCGGATGGGCTAAGGGGGTTGGCGGTGGGCCCTCCCCCTGGGAGCCCGCCCTCAAGGGAAGTCTTCTGGGGTGGGGTGGGGCTGGGTGGTTTTCCCCCCGGGACCCCTGCGCCCCACCGAAGGCCCACGCCGCGAACAAGGCACGACGCCGGGCGGCCACGGGCGAAGCCACGGGCGCCGCTGCTCTGCGGGCGAAGCTGGCGCGGGCGCTGCGGGCAGCGGGCGGCGAGGAGCGGCGGGCCCGGAGGGCGGCGACCTCCCCTCCTGCTCCTCCTCGCACCTCGCACCTCGCACCTCGAACCTCGCCCCTCTCCTCCTCCCTCAAGGGAAGCTTTCTGGGGTGGGGTGGGGCTGGGTGGTTTTCCCCCCCTGGACCCCCCGCGCCCCACCCCGGGGCCCGTCCGGGGGGCCCATCCCGGCCCCCCGCCCGTCTCCAGGCGGCTCCCCTGCGCGCGGCGACGCGCGGCCCCCCCGTCGCGGAGGCCGCGGGCGCACGGCCAGGCGCCGCCCTCTCCGCGCCCCGAGCTCCCTGGCAAGCGCCAGGGGGGCGTCACCCCCGCCGACGGCGCCACGTCGACCCCCGTCGCGGGTTGCCACCGCGCGCCGAAGGCGCTCCGACCCAAGTCGCGGCGCGACGGCGAGGCGAGGTTGACCCCCGTCGGGGCGAGTAACCCCCTCACGCTTACTAAGAAACCCAGAGTACCGTCAGCCCGTACAGTGGAGGCTCGACCAGAAGAAACCTTCCACAAGGAACCCAAACCCTGAAAATCCAGGGCGTCCACTGATTGTTTTGGTGTGGGAAGGTCACGCTTCTGGTCACAAGACTATCGACACCCAAGAGACCCAGGGGGCAAGCAGGGTGTTTCTTGGCATGGGTTTCCACTGTGTACTAAGGACGCACGAGAAGGGTGCAAGGTCCTTGGAAGGCCATGCCGAAGCTTTTCGAGCGAGGCGCGGCCCACGAGAGTGGCCAAGCATGGACAGAGGAGGCAAGGATGCAAGGGTGGGTGGAGGCATCACAGATGGGATCCGAGTAGATGGGGTCGGGTCGGAGGGTCGCGCCGCATCGCCAATGCATCGGCGATGTGTTGGCGATGCATCGCCGACGTCGGCGACGCATTGACGACGTCGGCGTGGAGAAACTCGGGCTCCGCATTGGGCCGCATCGTCGATGCATCGGCGATGCGGCGCGATCCTCCGACCCACTCTGCTCCGTCCCCATCAAGGAGGCCTAGAAAGGATCCCCTTGGGAAGGTTGCCCGTCCTCACTGTGCGGGTTGACTGTACCCGTCTGGATCGTACCGATGAGTATCGTTTAGCCGACCCCCCATCCCCAGCGGCGTGGCCTGGGCCCCACTGGCCGATTTGCCCCCCTGGATGGGGATATGGGTCGTTCTCTTCTGGTGTCGAGGGGTGTATCCCCAACTGGGGTGGCAATTTGGTGGGGGTCTCGAAAGGGATGGAGATGGGGATGGGGATCGGTTAACCGATTTGGACGCCCGAAATGGGTACGGAAAAAAATGGGTGCAAAGCCCAACAACAAACGTTGTCCCAAACCGACAGCGACCGCTGTTGGGCAGGCGGCCTTCAAGGCCTCAACTGGACACAGGCCGCGGCTGCGCGGACAGCGAGCCCTGCTCAAAATGATCAGGAACTGCTGTTGGGCATCGTACCCATTCTTTCCGTGCCCATCTCGTGCGTGCAGAGGAGGAGGAGGCGGAGGAGGCGGAGGAGGGCCTCCTCCTCCTCCCCCTCCTCCTCCTCCTCCTCCTCCTCCTCCCCCTCCTCCTCCTCCTCCTCCCTTTCCTCCTCCTCCTCCTCCTCCTCCTCCTCCACATCCTCCTTTGCTCGTGCAGATAACCGGTACCGAACCGAGAGGAGGGCGGCCCCGCCCGGCGGCCGCGGCGGCGCCTCCTCCCGGTGCCCGGCCAGCAACGCCTCGGCCGCCCGCCGGGCGGCGGCCTCGGCGTCCGCGCGCGACAGGGCCTCGGCAGCCGCGCGCGGACGACGGCGACGACGGCGACGACGACGACGACGACGAAGACGACGACGACGACGACGACGACGACGACGGCGACGACAAAGACGACGACGACGACGAAGACGACGAAGACGAGGACGACGACAAAGACAAAGACAAAGACAAAGACAAAGACAAAGACAAAGACAAAGACAAAGACAAAGACAAAGACAAAGACAAAGACGACGACGACGACAACGACGGCGGCGGCGGCAGCGGCGGCGGCGACGGCGGCCATCTTGCGAGCAGCAAGAACGAAGACGACGACGACGACGACGACGACGACGACGATCTAACATGCTGCTTTGACTAGTATTTGTTTTTTTCTCTCTCTCTCTCTCTGATGTACCCGCTGACTAAGTCTGTGAGCCGACTCCCTTCTAGGGGAAGGCCTCTTTTCACGCCAGCTCCTGGGAGACGCGTTCGGCAGCGTACTGTGTGCACGCAGCGCGCCGACATGGCCGTCATGCGAGCTAATACGCCCGCAGACAACTTACCAGCTTGAGTGCAATGCTAAGAGAGCTCGGTAGATAGCGCCGTGCCTGAGCTTTGGGGGCCTTCGGGGCGTCTCAGAGCGAACTGTGAGGAAGTGTCGAGCGGGAGCCACTTTTGTCTTAGATCGGCCTTCACAAAAAAAAATGAATTGCGAGGAGGTCTCGGGCGAGAGCGCCGTTCCTGAGTGTGATAATGCACACGATCAGGGCGTCTCGGGGTAGAATGTGAAGTATCGAGCGGGAGCCGTTGTCGTCGCAATTGGGCCTCCAACGACGTGACTGAATTGCGAGGCAGTCTCAAGCGAGAGCGCAGTTCCTGAGTGTGGGGCTCTCTGGCCAGAGCGTCTTAGAGTAACTTATCAAGAAATATATCGACGGGGCCGTTGTCGTCGTACTTGGGCCAGCGTCGAAGCGAAAGCGACCGGAACCGTTTCCAAAGATCAGCGAGAAAAAATATCCAGAGATGATTCGTCGACGACGACGACGACGACGTCGGAGGCGGCGGCGGCGACGAAAATGTTCGGTATTCGGACGTATGTGGTCGATTCCGGCCCCCGTTTTCGGGACACGGTTCGTCAAAAGTTCGTCCGGGATGAAAGCGTTGCCAGGATGGACACCCCAGGCATGGTGTTGCGCAAGGCGCGGGGCACAGAAGTTTCCGCTGGCGGGTGCCTTGCCCGCCTCCTCGTCGTGGTCGCCTCCCTCCTGTCGTGTTATCTTCCCCTTCCCCCTGCTCGGTGCCTGTTTTGCCGCGGCTCCTCCATCACAGCCGCACGCCACAAGGACGCACTGACCTGGCCTCGTCCCTGCTGCGATACCTCGCGCTAGCTCGCTCTTCATCAATGGACCTCTGGGGCTTTCGTTTGCTGGCGATAGTCACACCCGTCAGGCGAGCAGCAGCGTTCGCCTCCGCAGCTGTCGCTACACGATTGCATAGGGTCGTCGGTGGCTTAGTGCCCGCCTCCGCATCACTTTACGCCGCTGCTTCTGCGGTATACGCAGACATTCGGGCTAATTACTGAGAGCCAGGAGACAAAACCCTGACCAGACTGGAGCATACAATTGCAATGATCAGCCTCGCTAGGCTTCTTGACCAACTATGGTCGTAGGATTTGTTTTTTCTGTTCGTGGTCATGTTCAAGTTCCCAATGCTGGAGATGCTGGCGGAGTGCTCTAGCTCAATGGCCACGCTTTGGAAATTGATGGGCTACAGCATACCCATATTCGCGATGAGTCTTCGGCCTCGGCAACATGCCCGTAGCACCCGCAATTTACCTGGCAAGGTGGCTTGAGAGGGGAGCTTATGCGGAGATCACAATGCTGATCGCGTGAGGTATGGCTCGCGTTGCGTGATGTGCCGTGCGGGACAGATGTTCATCGAATGCCGATTGGGCGACAACGACGACGACGACGACGACGACGACGACGACGACAGCGACGGCGTCTTCATGGACCGAAACTCTGGCCAGGATGGGCCCCAGCAGGGATCCGAGGACCGATTTGGAACGTCAGGTCGAAACTGCGACGAGGGCTCCTCCCGGCTCTCTTCGGATGTCCCGAGGCCTCCGATGCACAGGACGGGGGGACCCTCAGATCCAGGTGAGCAACAAAAAGATGACAGCTCTGCGGGCCTGAGGGTGCCTCCACGAATCGAACTAGCTCGACGGACGTCGCGGAAGGACAGAAACGGGGGCTCTGCTTGGGGCTTTCCGCGGGCGCGCTAAGACTTATTGGGGATCGAAGGACCTGGCGCACGGGCGCCAGATTCATGGAATGGAAACAGTGCCCCTCGAAACATGAAGCCAGGACTGCCTGATTTGGCGACGGATCTCATCGGTTCTGTTTGGAAATGGCACCCGTCGAGAATCTACGCGCCGTAATCCATGTTTGCATGTCCTCGAGCTCCGCGACGTTACGATTTCTTCACGCCGCTGGGTCTCAGGGCTCGCCGCTGCGGTCCGTCTTGGGCACCTGTCGTCGACAGGCCGTAAGCAGTCGCGTGGAGCCCGAAAGCTGCACAAGGCAGAAGGCAGCTGTGTACCTGCACCGGTCCTGGTCCTGGCCAGGCCCGGCCTGGGCCCGGGGTGGGCCTGACCAGGATCGGCGTGCTCTGAATTGTTGGCTGGCCCGGGCCCTGCGGTGCCAGTCCACGTGTCGGTTCAATGTTTCTGTTTCGTCCCCCTCTCGGGGGCTCTGTCCGCCCCCGAGCGAGGGTTTCCACCTGCACGCTCTCTCGCCGGGCGCAGCCAGCCACTCGCGAAGCCGCGCGGAAGTCACGCCAGCCTACGGCCGATTCTGGCTCTCGCAACGGCGACGTCGCCTAGCCAGCGGAGGAAACATGTGCCTTGTTGGCGCCGTCTGGTGTAGAAAGCAAAACAATATCGGCCAGACATTCTGAAGACAACACACGAACAGCGGTCACGCATCGGCTGCGTCAAAACGCTGTTGTCGAGTGTGATTCCCCTCCCACCAACATATCCCACCCACCCCCCGCTGGTCGGTGGCAGGCAGGCGACCCCGTGGGGTTCGCGTGCGACTGCTCAGTGGGGCGCGTGGTTTAAGTGGATGACGGGTGCAGCAAAACCTAGCTTTGCACAAACAACTGGTGGCGCCTGTTGAGGGAAAGTGAAGATGGATGGTACATGGGATTGTAAGCGACGTACTCGTAAAAGACGCAAGAGCTGGGATGGTAGCTGCGTGCGAAAACAACAGCAAGAGCCGTGATGGTGGCTTGCCGCGTTGCTGACTGCCTCCGCCCTGGCCAACGCCGTGGCTGCCAGCGTCGCTTGCTCCCTTCATGCCCCCCCCCCAACTCAAACCTCCCCATCCCACCGCCACAAGAATAGGTAGGGGGAGGTAACTGGCGAAAGGAACAGGTAGATCGCTCAATGGTAGCTTGCACCGACACCGGTAGCCTGTGGGTCGGCCGGTGGCGGCATGCATTGCGACAGGAAGGTGGGAGGGTCAAAACTAGACGCGTAAGTTGCAAGGCTGCCCAATGCAGAGTGGGGCTTCTTCATGAATACGCTGTTAATCACAGGCAGCCGACATTTTGCGAGAGCGCCAGAGCATATACCTGGATACTGCACATCGGCAAAGACAGTCCAACCACTGCTGGACTACCAACGGGCGCTTCGACCGCAATTGGCTGCTTTCCCCACGGACGGCGACGATGACTCTCTTCCGACACAGATCCACGCAGAGCTGATGGCAGTGCAATGGCAACTACGCTGTCACGCCAAGTGGCTTCGTTCGGCTAGGCGACAGCACTGGAAGCAATGGCGCATCGACACGGTCGATGAGCTCAACGAGGCCCGTCGCCAAGGACGCCGCGCCGAGGTGGCGCGGATTTCACGCTGGCTGGCTGGCACTGGGGCGGGCCCAAGGAAGCGCGACTACAGACGCGCACCCGCGGCACTCCCCAGTGGAGGAGAGCTCGCCGAGCGTTGGGCTATACCTGCTGGACAGGGCGGCATGGCAGCCGCCACCATCGACTGGGTCGCAGAGGCCGATCGCTACATCTATGGCGACGTCACAGGGCAGGAGGCGCAGCAGTTTCTTGCGCCGCGGACACAGGAGGGGCTTGTTTGGGCAAAGCATCGCTTGCAAGAGCTGCGCAGATGGGCCTGCCGAGCACCTAAGCGACGCGCATGCCCTCCGTGGCCGGCACCCTTGGAGCTGCGGTGGATGGTGCTGCATCCCTACCGCAGAGCCTCACGACGATGTCATGGCGTTGGCTACACGACCTCCGGGATGAATCAGGAGTTCAACCGCAGGTTCCTTGCGATTTTCATGCATCGCCTGTGACGATCTGGACAGGCCCCACTTGTCGAGCACCTGAGCCAGGGAGCGGCGCTCTCCTGGAAGCGAGTCATCCACCCCCTGGACCCGTTCGGTGAGGGATTCATGGCCACGGCGATCGACCCCACCGAGCTCCGGGCCGAGCCACTTTTTGCTCACGGATGCATTCCCTATCGGCGCCGACAGACGGCAATCCTCGGCCAACAGCTTTGCACATGGCGGCTTCGACAGTTGGGTATCAACCACGTGACGGATTTGAAAGATATCACTAACGCCTTCGCGTCGACGGATTGGAACAGTCTGGTAACGGCGAACGAGAGCATC